TGACAATATTTATTTTAGTTGTTGTATTGTTATATAACAATATTATATATTATTAAATTTACGTTTTTTCTCATTATCTGAGTCTTGTCCATGATTCTAAAATATAAAAATATAATTATATATATTCATAAAAATTCATAAATATCAAAATATACACACATTACAAAATAATATAAATTTTTTTCATACTTTAGCATCTTTCTGAAATAAACGTTTACAATACTTAATGCAACCAGCTTTCATATAATCGGGAAGTTCTAAATACAATTTAATAATATATTTTTATTTAATTTTATTACAATATTGAATTAAATTAAATTAAAAATTTAATTAAAATTAATTTTATGTCATTTTAAATTAATTAAAGTTAGTTTTTATCTTCATATAATAAAAATTAATAAATATCATTGGAATGAGAATCTTGTTTTATGTATATAATTTAGCCAACTTTATTCGTGAATCTTTATCTATATAATAAGGTAATTATTATTAAAATAGCTTATATTTAACAATTTACCTTCAAATTTTATAATTAATTACACAATTAATTGTACAACATAATTCTTTTACAATTTTATAAACAATTGTTAAATTTTTAATGTATAAATTTTATCTTTTTTTTTAATAAAGAAATTTTCAAAAATTATAATAGCTTATTCAGATTACTGTTTACCAATTTTTATAAGTTAAAAAAATATGGAACTATAAAATTGATTTGAATTTATAAGTATGAAAATGAATGAATATAAATATCTTACAAAATAAATCAATGAAAAAATTGAGTACCATGAGTTATTCAACTGGACTTAACTTAATTAAAAAGTAATAAACAATTATTATACTTTAATATCAAGTTCTTCGCCGCATTATCATATTTCGTATTTCATATTTCAATATCATGCTTATATCAATATAGTGTCTTAATAGTTATAAGAAAATAAAAAAACTAAAGATGTACATATAAATTGTGAAAATCTTATTTTATCAAGTATATATTTACTTTTGTAAAAGTGATTAACATTCATAATCATTGGAATTAAAAAAAATCATCGAATATACAATATAATTAAAAAAAATTACATATTCAAAAATTTAATATGAATTTAGGCAAATATTTTTATAATAAAATTAATTTAATATATAAACATACTACTTACTTTTACATATAGTCAGGCAATCGTTTTTATTGTGAACTATTATACAATCTGTAGAAATATAGAAAATATGGATAATTTTAGAAAATGGAACGAGTACATAAAATCATTTAATTTTATTAGTTTTCTTTCAAGCGTGTAATTTCATTCATCATAAAATTACTTTAAAAAAAATATATATGGTAAATTTTATAAAGAAATTATAGTAATAAATTTATTGTCTTTAAAATATAAATTTAATAAAATTTTATCACTTTATTCATATGAAATTAAGAAACACATTATTTGTATTAAATGTTTTATTCTAAAGTAAATAAAACTTAAAAATTAGAAAAAGATGAAAAATATAAATGAAAATAAAATGATTTTTAGAAATACACTGATAATCATGTATTTTAAGTAAACAAAGCAAAAATAACAAAAGAATTTTTAAATAATCAAATAATTAAATACTATTCGATTCCAATAAATCATTGAAAAAAGAAAATAATTAAAAAAATGAAAGTAATTTGCACTTATTATTTTACTTACTAGCAGTGTCGAATAATACATCACAATTTTGACGGCAAATTTGAAGGTAATTAGCAGGTAATGCTTATAACAATGTAAGAACAACAGTTACAAAACATATATCTATCATTAATATATATAAAATACTTTAAATATGATAACACTGATTTGTATAAATGATTTTTTATGATATTGTATATAGACATATACAAGAATTAAAGAATAAAAGAAAATCATGTTTAGAATGTTATTTAATTTTTATTATAAATCTTAATATACTTAAAACATGCGCTTATATATATATATATATATATATATATATATATATATATATAATCAAAGTAATATTTAAATAAATAAATAAAAAATGTCATATTATATAACAATGCATACTTAATTTGAAAGTTGTAATTGTAATTACGTACTAAAAATATAATTGGAATGCATAATTTGATTATATCTTTTATTATGGTTAAATCAATGTGGTTTAATTTACAAAAATAATTAAGCGTATCGCAGAAATAAAAATCAGAAAAGATAATAATTCTCATACTTTAAATCCTTTTAAAATACTTAAGTAAAGAAAAACCAAAAGTAATTACTATTAATTAGTTAAAAGACTATGTATTAATGATATATAGGATTAAAAAAAAAATGATTATTTTGAGATCATTATTTTAATAATATAAATTATGGAGATTTCTAGCAATCTTTTCCCTCGTTGCTTTTATTTTAAATTATATTTAAGAATTGAAATTTTCGATTTTCATTTCAAATTTTTTTGAATATATAATTCAATACTATTATATTACTTTTAAATTGTAGCTTATACATTATATATAAATATAATTAATAATTAATCAATGACAATAAAAATTATTTAAAAATGTTGCTATTATATAATTAATGTTATCGTATAAGATAAATAGGTCGTATTACAATGAATTTAAATATCGAATTAAATTGTAGTATTTTTATTGACATATAGAGAAAAATGTGTTATGTATTTATTTAATAATATTCAATAATTTGTTCATCATTATTTAATAAACAATTTCCAATTATAAAATTAGACTTATTAGAGATGTATATCCTATAGAATAAAAATAATAATAATTGCTATCGAGTTAAATTAAAAATAATTGTTTCCATTCAGGAATGAGGTAAGTAAATCTTACTTGTACAAAGTTTATAACAATCTTCTTTCGGTATGCTTAGTGATCCTTGAAATGAAAGAAAAAGAGTTTACGTCTTTAATTTGTAATTATCTACTATCTCTAATATATATTTACCTTCTACGAAGGACGAATAACTATGGAAAACTAATATACTTAATATTATAATTTTCATGTTCAAATGTACTCGACTTTACATTAGTATTTAAAAAAAAAATTTATTTATTTAATACTGTTTATTATATAGTAATATATAAATATAATATTTTAATACTCCAACATTATTGTTAATTTTACATTTGTAGATAAATTATATATTACTGTTTGATGCAATTTTATTCCATCACGTTTTAATAATTATTTTTTATAAAAAATTTGCATAAAATAATTTTTAAAATTCATGTGAAATAAAGAAAATTTAATTATATGTCTATTTCCACTACCTTAAATTCAATTCTTATTTGTAGTTTAAAATTAAACTAATTTGAAGTTTAAAATTATAATCAGTCTATTCATATAATTGCCTTTATCAATATTTCGTTTATTCAAATGCTCCCTTTAACTCCAATAAAAATTTATCCCATGCCGCCCCCCCCCGCCACCACCACCACCACCACCACCACCACCACCACTATTATAGTGCTATGCGATCAAATCCCCATTTATTCATTATTCTTTATTTTACTACTTCCTATATTTACACGATCATGTGTATTATAATTCGATGAATAATCTTTAAAAAGGCCTTAAAAATTCAATATCATTATGGTTTGATATACACGTATTTCTAAAAATAGATAAAAATGGCATATAAATATGGTTAAATTTATTTTTTTCTTTTTTTTTTTTAATTTATAATGAAATAATTGAAATTGCATAGCAATAATCCATTTGAAAGATTAGGAATAATCGCAATAAATAATAGGTAAAGTGAATATTCGTTATGTTTTAAAAGAGTAAAACGTAGTTTAGTTTGTAAGAATCTTTATTTAATAATTTTAGTAGAAACAAAACATTCGTTATCTCCCAAAGAATTTTCTTCTATTATCGTTTACTTCACCAAATTTCTGTTATTTCAACTTTTCAACAATAAATGAAAATTTTCATTTGCTTTAATTTATTACTATTTAACAGCATTTAATTATAATTATCATTATAAACTATTTATCGAATTTAAATAATCGACAAGAAGTATGGAAAAAAGAAACAGTCAGCCATTAGATAATGGTAACAGTATACTATACTAATAACAAATAAAATAATAATGTCGATAGATAACGGGGAGTCGAAAAATCGAGCCAGAGAGCAAAAGACCATGAATTGCATAGGCTGACTTATGCACGCAACTGCAAAGGATAAAAAAAATATATATCCTTCATCGTATATCTTCTTCGTAGTCGTATCGTAATTCGTAAGGATTATTCGCGATTGAGAAAATTGGAATTAACTGAATTAAAAACGTCTTCCATCTTCCATCTCAAAATGCCTTGATAATAATTGAGTATTTTTTGCATAATTTTTTACGCTGGAATGTTTAAGTGACTCCAAAACAATTGTTTGAATCCAGAAATATAAAGTTGCTAAAGGGCCTTTAACTCTTAAATGCAAAATCTCAATCCATTCCTTAATGTAAAATTCAATGATTTTAACTAATCTCAGTAAACCAAAGTAACCAAAGAAGTCCAAATGCCGTGTAATTAATTCTTTGTAGATTTTTATATTAATATAGATGACGCCTTAACGCTTAGTTACGATTCGTAATTTTATCATTTTAATGTTAATAAACAAATACACGGTGCATGGTAAAACGTAATTAATTTTATTTATAATTTATAATTATGATAAATAACAGCCATAATGAAAATAATGCAAATGAAACAGGCAGTAAATTATTTGAAAAATATATGTAAATATAACAATGGAATATTTACACGCGCAGGGTTACGCATACATTCACATTCAATGTTTCAATAATTGTAAATAATATTATGTTTTAGCTTTAAACTTATATAGGCGAAAAATCGATTGAAAAACTTCCATTGGACTTAAAGCCGAGATAATAAAATTCAAGATCGATAAACGCCAACACGTGGTCATCTGCGTTATATACCAGCGTTACAAAGTCATAGTCACGAAATAAACTATGTAACTATGTAACTATGTAACTATATCCAGCTGCGCCAGGTTTTTGTAGCCATCAAAGTAGCAATACCGATTCGACTCTTCTTTATTTCTGTCGGCCATCTCCTTTTCCCTTTAGTACTAATATGTCCACTGTGTTCAGATATGTCTATGGTTGAAATGAGAAAAGATGAAGATTCGTAATAAGTATGCAATTCTCAATGAGAGGGTTTTTAAGATTGATCATTAACTAAGAGTACAAAGTGCATTTGTTCTTAAAAATTTAATTAGATTATAATTCAACTCTTTACTGTAAATATTGTGCATTTACAAGAAATGGCGGACGAAACGGTAAAACACGATGCTGAAAATAATTTAGTGTGTAATCAGAGAAAGCAGTTTGAAAATAACCGTAAAATAAATTATTAGCTTATAGCTTATAGTAATGAAATGATATTTTTTAGATGCCAACGCCAAAAATTAAACACGATTGGTATGAAACGGAAGTTTATGTTACTGTTATAATTTTGGCAAAAAATGCAGAAAATCTTAAAGTCACGTATGACGATACAGCAGTAAGTAAAACAAAAATATTGAACATTAAAATGTGGAAAGTAATTGTAAATAAATAGGCCAAAGTTGTATTAAAATTATAATATTTCAATACAATCGAATTGCTTAATATATTAACGATAATAATGGATTATTACATTATTATTAAATTATCTGTCCATTATTTTTCCTTATAATGTTATTAATATTTTTTTACTTAAAGGTTAATCATGACAAAATTTAATTTACAAAATAAAACCATATTCTATTGGTAATACTAAAATAAAATTTCTATAACCTTGTACGTAAATATCATATTACTATAAATATGAATATTAATTTAATGGCATAATTATTTTAGCCTATAATACTTTTTATTATAAAGAAGTCAGCTAGTTACAATCAAATATAGAATAATTAATATTAATAGTCAATATTATTCATACCAGGTTGTTATGTTAAAATGAGTAGAAAAAATATAAAAATTTTGCAGTAGGATTTATAATTGGTTTTTAAAAAGAATGTAGAATCTATTAAAGTGTTAAATGTATTGAATATTTCTGTATTTATATGTATTAAAGTTGTAATTAGTATCGTCTCATTGTTCATAGTAAAAATTTTAATTATGAAACATTTGAGGTTGGAATCGACAAGTTAATGTGACGTTAAACTATCCAATATCAACTATAGATTTGTCCTGCTAAGCCATATTTTAAGAATCCAACCAAATATATAAATAATGAGAATAATCATGATATTATATCTTATTTTATTACATTATTATGGTATTATCGTCACTTATAAAATGTAATAAAAATATAATAAAAATATAATAAAAATATAATATGATAAGATTTGATAAAAATATGCTTTGAAAATATGAAAAGATTACAATGTTGTAGTAAAATTCTTTCTAACTAATTATTATTATTAAATAATAATATACTTTTAAAAATTTTTACTTTTAATCTATAATAAAGATAAAAGCGTGATTACACGTATCCAGTGTATTAATTTTGCTGTAACTACAGAGTCAGTTTTCAATTTCATTCAAATACATAGACAACTGTGTAGTTAGATGTATTAGTAAAAGTTATCAAATTATATCTATTTATAAATAAATGAATAAATATATTGTCATATGATTTGTGTATACCATGTATTTAAAATAAAGTTGATGCAACAATGGTGGAGGGAAAGAAGTAACACCATTACCATTACTTTTAATACTATATTTAAGAAATGTGATTTCATAAATATTATTTATATTATTCATAATACGGAATAACGCTTATTTATGTCATAAATTAGAATATGTACATTTGGAAATCAAATTATTATTAAGATCTATGAAATAAATAATCACGCACAAATAATAATAATATATATTGTGATATTTTGATATTAAAGTGGATATTAAATGTACTATTAAACAATCATATTATATATATTACATAGATTCTAATTAATGCTTATAATAATAAACTTCTAATACAATATTTTATATTCTTTATGGTAAAGTATGTGCATAAACTTATAAAAAAGATCTCATCTTGCGATGTTATTTTGATTAGTTGTAATAAATTACTAAACAATTAATTAGTATATATTAAATTATTTCATATTAATTTTAATTAATATGAGTATCTTTTATGTAGTATACGAATTCATATAAATTTTCTTAAAAATGAAACTATTTAAATTTGCTGGTTTTTTATTGTAGTGATTCAATATTCTTCTTAAGGCTTACTTACGCATCAACGAAAAGACAGTGAATCAATATTTTTATGTTTCTATACTTGTACTAAGCTTAATAAAAATAATATTTTCAAATATCATTAAAATGGGTTTTACTAAATGCAGCAATCAATAATCCACAGGGTTTACAGAAAAAATCTCAAAATTTGTAATAAAAATTATTATTAAGTCTGTTTTTATAAAATCTTTTAATATAAATTTACAACCTCAAGATTATTGATTAAAAGAAAGAGAAAATTGTTATTATAAATATCGAATACTTTTATGCTGCAATATTCTCAATATTTATTGCTTAAAATATAACAGTATGTTCAAATAATTTTATATTATATAATTAATAAATAAAAACATTAAAACAAACATTCATTTGTTTATTATATAATGGAGATTCATAATAAAATCTATTATATTTCACATCACTTATAATAACAATATATAAATATGTAGATTGTGGTTACATTAAAACATCTAGAGCAGTAGAGAATAAACTCGTATGCCTTTAATCTTATTGAATTAAAATTATACCAATAATATAGATGTAAAAAAAAGTACCAGAGGAATTTTTTAATTATATATATGTAATGACACTTCGATAATAATTTTCCATCGTTTATATATAAATTTAAGTATTCTATACTTTATTTATGATAAATTCAAAATATTATCCAACTTATGCAAATAGTTTAAGGAATAACGTTAAAATTTATGCTACTATAATATTTACTAAAAAAAAACTCACCTAAATAATAACAAAAGAAACTTGTTTATACAATCATGCATTGTATTTTATAGTTTCTTTATTTTTAGCTTAGCGTCTCCGCTAAATTACCAAATGGAAATGATTACAGTTTAGAGCTAGATTTAGCCCATCAAATTGTACCTGAAAAATGCTCACACATAGTCACACCATCAAAAATAGAAATAAAATTAAAGAAAAAAGAAGGATATAGATGGACAGTTTTAGAAGGAAATCCTGAAAAGCAAGAGATTCAACCCATTCCTCAAGGTAATATATAAAACATATAATCAATTGATTTGGAGTAAAAATTATTAATATAAACTCTGTTAATTCAGAAATATTACAGGCTGGAACACAACCACTTAAATACCCAAGTTCTAGCAAAAAATCTAAAGATTGGGATAAAGTAGAGAAGGAGATTGAAAAACAAGATAGTGAAGAAAAAGAAGGTTTAAGTGCATTAAGCTCTCTTTTTCAACAGATTTATGGAAATGGTTCGGAAGAAGTTCAACGTGCTATGAATAAGTCATTTGTAAGTAAATTATTATTTTACTTTTCAAATACTTTGTAATGTTAAATTAAAATGTTTTTGCAGCAAGAATCTGGCGGTACAGTATTAAGTACCAATTGGGCAGAAGTTGGTAAAGGAAAAGTAGAGAAAAAGCCCCCAGATGGATTAGAATGGAAGTCTTGGTCTGGATCTGGATCCAATTCATAATTTTTTTTTTTTATATTTAACAAATTTTTAATTTATAAAAGAAATATGCTAATTTAAATGGAATACTTTTAATATTAATAAATCTTTTTAATGTTATTAATAGAAGGCTATTTTATTTCTGTGCCTTGATACTTTTAAGATGAATGAATATATAATGAATCAACATATTTGCAAAAAATTCAATACTTTATAAATAATTATTTTAATACAAATTTTTACTATTACATATATTACAAGTATCGCTATACAGTATTACGTTAAATATATCATTATTTTTATATATATTCAATTATATGTATATATATATATCTTATCGATATATTCAATTGTTAAAAATTTTACATAAAATATAAACAACAGTTCCTATTACTATAAGATGACTTATTTGTTTCATATCTAGTATTTCCATATTATGTGGTTTATCTACATTAAGCATGTTAACTTTAAGGTTCTCTGTGCTTTTTTGATTATTAAAAAGTTTTAAAAATTCAGTTTTTAATATATTTTCTATTGACTTCTCTCCCTGATTAATAGTGTCCTTTAAATCTGCCACTCTTTTATTATTATAAATAATAGATGCGGTTAATGAAACAATTCCTAAAAATGCTGATGCTAAAATAGATAGATATTTATACTTTTGTGTGTTCATAGTCTGACAGTCATGATATTCCTTTATCGATGTTGCCAATTGTGCAAAATAATCATGTTCTTGTTTTTCTAAAATATTTAATTGTTCCAAAATTTTCGAGTGCTCTTGTAAACTTTTATTTTCCATAATTGTTAATTGTACATATTTGGGATTATCTCGTTTTGTTTGAATTAATTCGCTATAAATTTCTTTTAACTTCCCATTGATTAATGATATTTCTTGTGTACAATTACGACGTTGATTTTGACACTCGAATAAATTATTTTGCACTATAATGACTTGTTGCTTAGCAATTTCCACTTTATCCAAGCCTATTAATTTTTGGTACCATTGCCAATAATTAATAAGACGTGTTGGTAAAGGAGGTGATAATTGCAGCAATGTAGTATCAACATTTGGAATAATTGTAGGATTATTCATTCGCTATAATTAAAAAATAAAATTTATAAATCCATTTATGTTTATTTGTACATTAACGTGATACTGTGATTGTACCTTCAAAGCAGTATTAAATTTTTCAGAAACGATATTTGACAGGTTTATCACCTTATATTTTGTATTGTTTGTCGCATTTATAATTCCAGACTTTCTATTCAATATTAATGGTAATTTCTGCACCTTTTCTATTAAAAATGTTAAGGCTCGTCTCGAATCTCCTGCCATTTAACGATATTAATTGAACAATTTAAAGTATTCTACATACTTTCATATTCTTGTGATACAATGGTAATACATAACCTACAATATATTTTTCTAATCTAAAAAATTTTCTTACAGCTTGTGGATCAGCAGAAATTGATGTTACTTTAAAAGTTATGATATTTGCGCGAATTCAAAGTTTAAAGTGAACATTAAATCATTTTGATAATATATATTTTTTTTTTTTTTTTTTTTTTTTTTTTTTTTTTTTTTTTTTTTTTTTTATTAATCTTTCGACGTTTCATTCCTACTTTAATGTATAATAATATTAACTACAGAGCAAATCAAATTATTATAAAATAAATAAAAAACAATCATGGATTTCGTTTAAAGATTTTTTTTAAAGATATTTTCGTTTAAAGATAAATTTCGATTTAAAGATTCCAAAATCCCTTATAATTTTAATAGAAAAATTAGAATAAAATTATTAAATATGGTATAAATAAAGTAATCTAGCAAAAGTGTAATGAATGAGTGAGTTTATGGCATTAATAAAATTATTAAAATTAATTTTAACTAATTAAATAGGCCTCGTAATGTACGGTAATGTTTTAATTTAAAAACATGCAAATTTTAAGTAAATTAATTTGCAAATAAAAATGTTTAAAAAGCCAGATGCGAATGCCATAGCTAGAAATAACTGATAATTGAAATAAATTTGATCTTTTATGTTAATTTATATTTGTATAACGAATAAATTTAATACAATACTCATATTTTATATACGAGACCGAAGTATTTTTATACTATGCGTAATAAGATTATGGACAATTATGTTTGAAAGAGGGCAAAGAAAATGTTTATTTAAATATCAGTAACTCGGAAAAATTGAAAATTTATTGCCAACAATATCGGCATCTACAACAAATGTACAATATTTTAATAAATAACATACAGATTTAATATAATTCCATAATTGCATCTCGTCACGTTTCCTCAAAATAATTTTTTATTCCCTAATGATAATAATGTTTACCGATAAAAATATTTTAAAAAATTAAAATACGAGTGTATTTGCATTGAAAGAATTTAACATTAAAATCTCTGCATTCTCATTCGCATGTAATTTAAAACATTTCACGCACAATGCACAGTTACGGTAAAAATGATAATTTGAAAATTACCAATGACATTGAAATTGAATTTTCACAATTGCTACCAACTTTTAAGCTCCAAACCTTCATATTCCTGCTTTACATGCGGATTTGTTAGTCAATATCCCGTTAAGGTTATTTTTCTCTATTTTTCTGTTTTAACGATATATGAATATATGAATATAAGAAAATTAATAGATGTGAAATAATTTAGTAATAAATGTAAGTTATTGAGAAATAAAATAAAGTGACTAAAATGACATCTGATAATTCAATTATAACAATTGAAGATAACAGTTTTAATGATTTTGTTCAGGTATAACAAAGAGCACATTTCATTTATATAAACAATTTAAATATTTATGTACATTGATATATTTATAGTTTTATTATCAAATTATTAATATATAATATAGCTTAACGTATTTAAATGCTCAAGATACTATTTTTATATTTATTTAGGAATATATTTAATAGCTGAAATTTCAAGATCTAATCATTTTTAATTAATATTTAAAAATAAATTTTAAACAAAATTTTATTTGAATTTAAAGGACTTGAATTGTGTATTCGCAATGTACATTTATTTTTACCTAAGCTAAGTGCACTCGATATTATATAATACTAATAATTTTATGATTAAAATAAATACAGATAATTCAACATTTATGGTAATTATACCATATGTTCCCACTTGTATAATTATTATAACAATCAGGTGTTATTAAAATATTATTAGTTATTATATAATAATATTAAGACATTAAAGATATTTATTGCATTTGCTTTTATAGAAACATTCAAATTTCATCGGTGTAATTAATATTATGCAATAAAATTATAAAATTTTCAGAAATCATTTAGTATCTTAAAAAAAGGTATCAAAGCTTCTAATAGTCTACCCAATAATGAGAATTTCAATTATTACTCGTGTTTTCCAACATTTAATGAAATTAAAAATGAACAAATTAAAAAGATTATGCATTCTATGCAGTGCATTGTTAGAAAAGCAGAAATTTCAGGTAATATTAAACAGAGAGATATCGAAGAAAAATTTGATTTGTTACTGGAATCAAATGACACATTTTTGGACAGAGCTGTGAGTAACATTTTTGTTATATAATGTTTAACTATCTATTAAAATTAGCTTTTTAAGTAATGATTAGTCCTGATATTCAGAACGCATGTATGGACGAAGAGGCTGGTATAAGTAGAAATCAGGGTGTTGAATTAATAGTTACGCAAGCAAAATTAACAAAAAAGCTTAATGGATGTTGGAATAATACCGTCGATAAACAAACTTCAACGAGTAGCGATCCTACTCAAACTGTGCGATTACTGGCAGGTAAAAATATTCAAAGACCACAATTGACATTTAAAGACAAAATTGATAATAGTCCAATGCCATGGCAGCCTAAAATTAAATATAAACCAAATTCTATAAAACCGTTGGCTATATATTTAGAAGATGACGATAAAGAAGTATTTTGTCATCCTTACGAATGGGAACTCGATAAATTTGAGCCATCAGAAGAACAATTAGTAAAGAAACATCCAATTAAATATAAATCATTAAAAGAAACGCCCCTAATTATAATTGAGAAACTTGATGATCTCAAAATTATACTAAATGATTTAGAAAATTATAATGAAATTGCTATAGATTTGGAACATCATTCTTATAGAAGCTTTCAGGGCATTACGTGCTTGATGCAAATATCAACTCGAGATACAGATTACTTAATCGATACTTTAACTCTTCGATCTGAATTACATGTTTTAAATGAAATTTTTACAAAGCCATCGATTCTGAAAGTATTTCATGGAGCAGAATCAGATATTTTATGGCTACAAAGAGATTTATCATTGTACATTGTAAATATGTTTGATACTCATAAAGCAGCGAAACAGCTTGAGTTACCATTTCTAAGTTTATCATATCTTTTAAGAACTTATTGCCAAATCGATCCTAATAAACATTTTCAATTGGCTGATTGGCGAATTAGGCCTTTACCCGAAGAACTTATGAAATATGCTCGAGAAGATACGCATTATTTATTATATATAAAAGATATTTTGAATAATGCTCTAATCGATGTTGCTAATGGTCAAACTAACATACTTAAAGCTGTATATGCTTGCAGTACTAATATATGTAAGCAAACATATGAAAAACCAGTTTGGTCAGAAATCAGTTATACAGCTATGTATCGTAAAAGTCAAAAGATGTTTAACAATCGACAATTATATGCTTTAAAAGAGCTGCATAAATGGAGAGATGAAACAGCCCGAAGTGAAGATGATAGCACTCATTATGTTTTACCAAATCATATGCTATTGAATATAGCGGAAAGTCTTCCAAGAGAAATGCAGGGTATTCTAGCCTGTTGTAATCCTATTCCACCTTTAATAAGACAAAATTTATTAAAAATCCACAAACTGATATTGAAAGCAAGAGAACAACCTCTAATAAAGACCGTATTGAATGACGATATAATAAGATTATCTCAAAGAAGTCAAATCTCCAACTCCGAATCTTGGATTTGGACACCACATGACCTACCAAATGATATGGAAGCTAGAGAAAATCTTCCTTGCTTATTAAATACCACTCCTAATTCATTAGTATCGTTAAATCAGATAAAATTAAAACCAGGCATAACAATTTTTGACAATTCGTCATCAGAGGTAATAATTTTTTTTACTCACTAATTTTCTCAATGGTAAACATAAATTAATAACAATATTTTAAATAATTTGGTAGGATGAATGTAAGGACTCCGTAATAGAAAGTTGTAAAAAGCCAAACAAGCTTATTTTTGTCAGCCCTTTTGAAAGATATAAGCGAGTACAGCCAATAATAGCTGAAGAAGAAAAGAAAGAGAGAGAGAAACAAGAGAAGGAAGCTGAAAAAATAAGAGAACAAATCGAGAAAAGTAAACAAGAAACTGCCGCAAGCATAAAACGAGTACATGAATATTTTGTACAGTTAACGACAAAAACTCAATCGACAACAGCAGCTCGCGAATCCATTGTATCTACAGAAAATACTGATTCAAAATCTGATAAAACGAGTCAAAATCCAAAGCATTTTGTAAAGGATTCGAGAAGTAGTAATCTTGCACAAAATGATGACGTAGTAGATACAATTGTTAAGTCGCATATGCAAACTTTAAGTAAAATGCAAAATAAGAAAAGAAAAAGACAATTAGGACCTGAAATAATGCGATCAAATAAAAAGAAAAAGGAACGTCAAAAAGGCTTTAAAAAAAATACCGATAAATGAGAACATTTTTGGTATTATATTTTTACATTATTGAATGTAAAAAAATTTTATGAGTAATTAGTTTTCATTGTAAATAATACTAATTAATAATCATTATTTCCTTAATATCTTTACTTATTTGTTACCGTTTCTTTTTCTTTTTTCTACTTACAAATAATTTCATATAACTATTATTGTGTTTAATGTACTTCTAAATTGCTGGACAGTATGTTGTATAAATTTTTTATTTTAAAATATATTTCCTAATATAAAACTCGTACAATAAATATGATAAGAATATGTATGTACGTACATAGTATGATTAATTATGATACAAAAATATAATTTTAACATTAATCTTGAATAAACATCATTTACACGTTGTAATTAATACATTTTTAAATCTAACTTAATTTATCATTTATAAAAAATGAACGGCAAACGAATGTCTTTTTTTTCTTTCTTTCTTTAATTGAATTCTTTAGTTATTTTTTAGTGTCATGAATTAATGAGATTTGTATAACATATTTTCTCTTGTATTTCGCCATTAATATTAAAATAGTTAATTTTTCATTCGCACATTATATTAAAAAAAAAAAAGAAATAGAAAAAAATAGCATTAAAAAAATTATAATTGCACTAATGGCATTAAATATCTTTTGAAATTCATTTCTATACACTGAATTATTTTAAATGTGATTTTTAATATTAATTCAATATTTCTATTTTCTAATCATACAGCAAGTTTATAGGTCCACGAGTTAACTGAGACTCAAGAGTCACTATTCCGTGTTCGATGTTCGATATATTCTTTCCCGGCGTTCTTATAGCTCCATGCGATAACCTATGTATCTTTGATTTAAAAATGCACGAAATAAAACAAACTCTATAATTCATAGACTTCATAGACTTTTTAAATTAATGCTCTTTTCAAGTTTCTTTAACGAATTCCTTTCTCAGCTCATATTAAAGGCATTCACCATTTTACTAATAAAAAAAATAAAAAAAAAAAAAAAAAAAAAAAAAAAACCTGTATGCCCATATGTGCATATGCATATTTGCGCGCACACGCGTGTGGGTGTTTTCGTGTGTGAGATTAATGTTGGGCGAAATTAGCACTAAAATGAACAGAAGCACGCAAAAATATAAGTATTAAGTATCTATCCATCTATCGTTTCCTAATAATAACCAATATGATCAGATAAACGTGAAGGAAGAGAAGCAGAGATTTTGTCAACTTGCTCAACTCTATTTCATGTTTTCTTTATGAACGATAATATTGATTGATTGTGAAACCGAAAAGTACTTAAAAATTTGAAAGCCCCATTGTAAACGTCGTATCCGGCTTGAAACGTTGCGCGCTAGCCCCGGTGGTTCCACCCATATCATTTAAAACTCTACTCGCAGCTACGACATTAATCGCGATTCTCATATTTGACTGAAATTATTGCTCGCAAACAGACAGCACCGAGTTGTTGGCCGACTTTACTTCGTTCGCGATTGATGCACTTTTTCTGCAAGTACTGTGCAGCATGTTTAACACTGTACCACCAGTCGTCCGGCCGTGGCGTAGATCATCCGAAGCACGTATGCGGCACGAGCGACGGCGGCGGCGCAGCAGCAGCAGCAGCAGCTCCAAAATTAGTAAATAAAGATGGTGCCTCGACAGAAGAGGTCCGCTCCGTGTCCTCGCTCATAAAATGTCGCGCAAAACGAGACGGAAGATGGGTTCGCGGCCCTGTGCCGTATCGAAGCAGGTCTAGGCGTCCCCGTCGTCCTCCTCATCGTCCTCGTCAACATCGTCGACACTGGTAAAACCGAAGGAGGAGAGCAGAGACAACGTTTAAGGGACAGACAAGTGTATACGTCGCTTATCTGTTCCTTCGCGACGAGATCGAACGACGGTAAGTTACGTTTTCAACGAGTATTCCTGCCTGCCTGTCTGCCTGCCTGCCTGCCTGCCTGCCTGCCTGCCTGCCTGTAACGCAAACCCATCTATACATTTTTCAAATAAAAATCATTCTGCCGTGTCAATGTATGTCAAGCCTCCTCCTCCTCCTCCTCCTCCCTACTATAGTCCTGAATTCCTGATCTCTCGTCGTCTAACGCACACGCATACTGTCGCTCGGGCGCACACATGTTCGTTTGTTCGCTCGCTCGTTGGCGCTTTGGCTATGCTCTCTGACACGTTGCAGCTCGTGCTTACAAGCAATGAAAAAGCGGTATCATCGGCAAGTGTAAACGAGCCACTTTTTTTTTTAATTACTCATTGCACAATTACACGCATTATCATTAACAACACGTTAAATTATGCGAGTAGATTTATGCCGTCAATGCCTTCTATGCTTTTTTCGTCAAACATTTCATTAACATGATAATAATTGGCTTTCCTATGTGAATGCTTACGTTTATCGCTCAATAGAACCGATCATTCTCGATCGATTCGTTATTAAAAAATCATTCTCGTCATTAAGAACGAAAAAATAGAATTAAATATGTAAGAAGCCACAGCGATATCAGACCCTTCTATTCTGAATATCAAAATACTATTTTTATCCTTAGACGCCTACATACCGACGCGTAGCCATCGTCATCGTCGTCGTCGTCGTCATCGTCGTCGTCGTCGTCGTCGTCGTCGTCGTCGTCGTCGTCGTGGTCGTGGTCGTGGTCGTAATGTTAATTGGAATCGCAATCCTAATCGTCATAATCAGAGTCCTAACCGTCGTCGTCGTCACCGTTGTCGTAATTACCGGTACTCATACCCAAGCACGGAACAGGAAAATGATGGTTCAAACGTTGATGACGGTTTATATAAAAAATTTGATGTATTATAAAAGATTACAGCTGGTTTGAATGACAATGAGGTTCTTTGGCTGCTATGGTAGTAAGCTTATTTTCAAGGATGTTCAATGATTATTTGGGACTAACAATTCTCGTGGTCAGAGCTGTACATTCGCGTAAATTACTTAACGATTAATTTGTAGAATATTCTCGTGTAAAATAATTACGCTGAGAAAGAAAATTTTTTTTGTTCAATTTACTCAATCTATTCGATTTACTATAAAAATTGTGTACAATACTTTCTGTGTCGTCTGGCATATTTTTTACGATGATACTATATTTGGCTGCAATGCAAAATAGTCAAATTGTGTAGGTGTAAATATTTAAAAATTTTCAATAATTTTTCAAACTTAATTTTGACTAGCGCTATCGGTTTCTATTAGATTCTCAAGAGTCGATAAAAATTTGATCAATAACACTTGTGTTTTTCACTTGTGTTGTCAAAATTAACGAAAACTGACTGCACGTATTGTATGACATATCGAGTGCAACGACAGTCAAAGATTGTGAAAATAATTTTTGAAAATAAGGGACGCTACGGAAAAGGTCATTTCAACACTGTCAAGTATATTTTATACCAGGAAGTTCAGGAAAACAAAAAAACAACAACAACAACAACAACAACAACAACAAAACAAAAACAAAAACAAAAAAAAAAACAAAAAAATCAAAGAAACAAACAAGTTGGGAAAAAGCTGAACATCGCTGAGGCCTTGGCGTTATACCAGAATTTGATCTTCTTGAGGTGTAATAGGAAACCGTTGTAATGCTCGTGAGAGAATTTAATGTATTGCTATGAAGAATCTTTTTCGAATAAAATAGAAATTGAAACCATAATGTGCTTGAACGTCCTATGGCTCGTAAAATATTTCAAATCTATTCAATAATATCCCGTGAATCGTGCATTATAATTTTTCTTGAGACATGTATACAACATCTATGTGGATATTAATTTTTAAAAAAAATTATCGAAGATTCAATCTTTTTATTCATTTGCCGTAGCGACGCCGCTTTTAGCTAATGAATTATAACAAGTTATTTTCCTTGAATAAAACTGTGTAATCTGTAAGAGACGAAATGCCAAAAGTAGATTTTAGATTTTAGACACATAAAGAGGATCATAATAAACAAACAAATAAATTTGCTTATAAATAATATTTACAACTTACAATTTTTTATACGTGTTTTCATATTATCACGATCTAGATAAAAATTGGTATGGCCTTTCATTTACAGCTAAAAGTATTGTTTTATGCATTAGAATTACACAATAATATTATATAACAGAATTATACGGTATATGATAGATAATTAATATTGATAAAAAAAAAGTGTTAGAATAATTTTAAGAGATGTGAAGCATATTCTAATGGCAAGTATTGTTAAAGCTTACGACAAACATTATTATTTAATTTCTCGTATATTAAACGTCCTTTTTTCACATCTCTCGTATCTTAAGCCAAAATGAGCCTTAAAGAACACATAAATTAAGACTAAACGAAGTGACATCAAAAATAATCGATAAAAAATTGTTTGAAAAAACGATGAGAGACCAGATAGATTGACAGTCACGAAAGTAGATGATCCGATGAAATAGCCAATAGACCGAGGATAAGAGTAATAATATTCACGGACTATATTCCTAGCATATTTAAAAAGGAAGGATCCTTATTCCTTAAATCGGTTGCGAAGCTCGAGTGCGGAAATCGGATGGTTCATAAGACGTGATATTAGCGTAAAACAGCGAAAAGAGGATTGGGCCATGCGGCCTAGTGCGTGTCGCCGTTGCTGCCGTTCGCCTGCTACCCACGTCGCTAAAAATAATCATCGAAAAAGCCGATCGGGTATACACGAAGCGAATCCGATGCTCTTCCGTCTTCGGTATGTGTGCTTCTTGTCTCATGCAGCCACGGACATTGTACCGAATAATGACGAGGCGGTGGTAGTCGTTCGTAACAACTACTTTTCCTTCACCTCCTACCCTAATAATTTATCTCTCGGTATAATACAAAATGCATCACCTACATACATATTATTGCCAATCTATATGTAACTTATTTAATCCTCTACATCTCTTTTTCTCTTTCACATCCATCCATTTGCAGGGCATGCGCCCCCTTCTACCCCGCCCCTCTCTCACGCACACCGTTACTCTGTTTGTTTGTTGTCGTGTGTGCGCGCGTGTGTCCCCCGTAGAGAGACTAAAATTATTATTGGTATTTAATTCACATTTTTTTCTAACATTTGTTAAGATTAAGGAATGGAATATCCAGATATATACTAATGTATGTGCTCGTCTGCACCCATTTACAGATATATATTATTTATCTGTATAGTCATCGTCGTAAAAAGTTAGAAAAAAAGTATCGTAAAACGATAGCATATTTTATAATCTTAATTCTCAAATTAAAGAAAGGAAAAAAAACTTTCATGCAATTGCAAATACATGATCCGTAAAAAGAACTCGATGAAAATGTGCAACTACAAATTATATATCATGTAATATCATATAAAATTTATATATATATATATATATATATATATATATAGAAAATTTTTTAATCATATTTAAATCAATTTATTTATTATGTTTATTTATATTCCAATTAATATTTCTTTATATTTACACGAGTCTAAATGTTATTAATTTATAAACTTATAAATTCAGAACAATTACGAACATTTTAGTTTTTTGATACATTTTTAATGTAAAATCTATCCACTTATGTTATCATAAGAAATACATATATCTTTGAAAAATCTCGATAAATTAATATAATTATTCTATTTAATAAATTAATATAATATAATTAATATAATTTATTCATCGATAATAATATTTTAGACTTTATGAATACTTTAATTTTAAGGTCAAATAATTTAATATTACAGTAAAATATAGAAATCCCAATGAAATTTAATTAACTTTCTTAATATTTGATTATCCAAAAAGTTTCTTTTTCAAACTTACATATTTTTTATTACAAAGTTTACGAAAATTTGGAAAAATACTGTTAGTGCTTTAAATTTTGAAACCAATCGAATGAACTAATTATAGAACTGGAAAAAAGTTATTTGAAATACTCTTAATTGGTATGCTAATACGAGAATTGCAATTAGAAAGTATTTTGTTCAAGGGACCAGTAAAATGAATGGAAAAAAAAAACTTGAGGGTATGTAGATGAGTAGGAATTAAGTGCAATAAGATTAAATTCGTGAACCGAATGGACGTTCAATGACTTTACCTACATATATGGAAAGAAATATTTATGGCACATCAAATTCGCTTGCTTTTGTAACTTTTTCAATATCAATATTTTAATGATCGTACATCTTTCGAAAGTTTAAGCATTCAAGTTAATAAATTGTAATTGAATATTGTCTGATATATAATGACAAACCTTTTCATTCAGAATAATATTATACCATTGCTAAAAATAAATATTCTTATAGAAAGTTCTTTGTCAAGATAAGTTCCCTAAAAATAGTATAGCCTTTGAACTTCATACTTGCATACATGTAAAGCACACGTTTAATGCACTTTAAATTCATTTTAACTACAATCAAATATTAAAGTAAAATATATTTTGTGCTATTTTTATTATTTCATTATTACTGTGGTTTGCGCATACATGACGAAGAATTTATTTTAAAACCACAATACATATCTAATTATCAATATAAAAAATTATCCTATTTACATCTACATGTTGAATATAACAAATTTAATATTATTTAAAGCATTGTAATATAATCAAATTTTGTTGGAAAATAAGATATTTTTATCTAAACACTGTTACGCGTAAAATTACTTTAAAAATATTTTGATTAAACGTTGTTAGAACAACGCTAAATGCAATTTATTTGCGCGTCCACACTCATTTTAGTTTCCCAACTTAAATACTTGAACTTCCCATTTAAAAGATTACTTATAATCTTCAAATAATATTCTTTAAATAATATAATCTTTTCTCGGAATTTTAAAATAGTCGTGGCAATGACTTAAAAATAATAAGTACTGTAACTGGATATAAAGCGACGTATTCACAATTAATGCAATAAT